CCAGCTAACTCACTTACGAAGAACAGGCCCCTGCACAGTTACTATCCTATTCACCTTGTTTCTGTATACAAATACAGCTTACATGAAGGTACTCCAAGTCTGGTTAAATACATATACTCCAACTTTGCAATTTGATTTCCATAAAAATGCACATAGACACAGACAGTGTAAATCTAAAGATTTTATTTTGTATGACTTTATGTTCAGATAATTAGAAAATGACAACTCCTTTTCTTGTCACAGTCTCCTAGTCTATTAAACTAGAATATAAATCCCTAAAGCAAAAAGTAACTAAGTTTAAGGTGGCTAAACCTGCACTGGACTGGCTCTCAAAGCCGGGCTAAATGCAGGCACCACAGTCATTAGTGAGGTGAAACCTTGTTTCTGCCCTTCTCCGCCATCAGTCTGGAGTGCGTTTGATCACATTTGCCATAGTTGCTTAAGCTACCTTTCCAGGATGTACCCCGCCTCTCGGTCTACGGTAGCTGGGATAGGCTTCAGAGGCCGACAGAGCAGCGAGCAGTGCAACCAGTTGTAGTCACAGCTCAGGTGAAGACCATCTGTGTTTGCTGGCAAACTTTTCAAACATACATTCTCAAACAATTATGCCAAATTTGGGACAGCCTCTCTGTGGTTGTCCAGCTTATTGTTCTTCACACGTATCGTATGTAGAGTTCCATATGACTGTTGATTTTGTTTTGTGTTCTGGAGACTTATTAGATTTTTGATCAATCTGCTACGCTCAACTGTAGGAACATTTATTTGGAATATTCCATGTCAGCACTCCCTTCAATTTCATCTCAGCATTCCAATAAAGAGTTGTGAAATTCCTTTAGACGGAGGCCTGATCCCTAACCGAAACAAGTGTTAAACAGGCTGAGGCACGAGCAGTGAACGCACAGGCTGTAGCATCAGCTGCAGCAGCTAGCTTCAATAAAAACTACAGAACTACAAAGTACATGTGCTTGTGACAAAAATAAAACTACACAGAGAAATTTCTCTGCAGTTAGATGGACAGTTTCCCGTCTCATCTGAGGTAGTAAATAAGTAGAAATATCATTAAAGGCAAGTACAGAAATGACTCTCCAATATAGCACTCAAGCCCACGTGTATACGCAGGCCGTCAGAATGACTTCTGAATAATTCCCCTTCTTCAGTGCTAAAAACTGCTTCATGTTAAAACAATTTCTAATGATTGCTGCAAAAGTTACGTGACAATGTAGAGGTAGAAGGTTTGAATTATGTCTGCAACTACATAAAGAACAAATCTACCTTTAAAGTTTCAATATAATGGCACCAAAAGAGTCCAAACAACTAAAAGCAAACAGAAATAAAGCAGAAAGCCACAGTTCCAGGTCTGAGGTACACATCAAATTCAAACTTTTTGAGAATTGTCCTAAGTGCTTCAACCCAGTCACGAGATTAGACACTCTTAGAGAGGCACAACAGTAGCATTTTAAGACAATGTGAAGCCTGGCACAGTGCTAATTAGAGGGGTTTATGAATGAAGGTTGAGGAAAGAGTCATCTAAATGACTCCCTCTCTAAAGATCACATCAGTCACTTCACACCAGTTGAAGACTTAAAACCATTCCACCAGCCCTGACACATTGGGTGAATGTCAGGTAACTGGGTCTGTTACTGGAGGCTTCTTGTTTTCCTGTGACACCATCCACTCTTTAGCTGCTTCCCCGTGTATCAGCAGCAAAGGTGAGACCAGGACAAGAGGGATGAGGGTGCTTATAGTGCTAATTTTATCAGATTCACACAGTCCAGCACCACAGCCACTGAAGAACGGTGTTAATAGCAACAGTGAAATGGGTAGAAATGCTCCACGTGGATGTTCGTGCTCGGTTCTAACAGTGCTCACATCCAGTGGTCCAGTTCAGAAAAAAGAAAACACAGGTAACAGGGTGGAATGTGAAGCTTCCTTCTGCTTAAATCAGTTCCCAGCTGCCCCACGTCAGGTCACGAAGCCAGGGCGGCCACCGTCCAACCAATACTTTCTACCATTTCCAGGAATCCCTTGATTCACATGTGTACATTTAAAAGGTTTCTCGTCATGCTGTGGTCATTGCAGCAGCAGCCGCCAATGAGAAAAATAATATTAAGCTGACTTGAAAAAACACACCCAAACCTAGAAAACATGGGATCCAGTGGTTTGTTTAAATATTCCCCATAAATATGAAAGTAACAGATTTTTCTCTGTAATACTGCATCCTGTTCATACTGGCCGTTAAATGACACCTCAGTAATGTATTTCAGCCTCCTAAATGTCCATATTTTGTTTCTCCCTGCTAGTCTGTCCAGAGTGGAGGCCACTTTTCAGCCCCTCTGGGACAGGCTCCAGCAACCTGGACTCCGAGATGGTTTAAGAAACTGAATAGCTGGAGAGCAAACTGTGATTCACCCAGTTGCTCTTTACAGGTAATCCATTGCTGCAACTCAAAAACAGAAATATTTGGAACAAAACAGGTAGTACTGCACAATGAGTTCATTTTGCTCTAAGGAAACTTTGTCTTATCAGTTCCTATTGTGTCAAATATTCTGGTTCAGAGTCAGAACAGTTCGAAACCTGTTTCCCCATCGGTAACAGTGGAGCAGCCCCCCCCCCCCCAATGTGTTTTGGCATGTCTTCGGTGAAAATAAAAAATAAAAGATTTATGACTAAATGTCCCTAAGCTTCTAAAAAGGGACTGTGTTAATGGTCACAAAGCTCATTCTATTTCATTTGTGCTTCATTTCCAGTAAGATGGATGAGATGTTTGATCTGACAGACATTTGTACAGGGTTGCTGAAACTTGAAGCAGACAAAATACGCTTCATTTTGAAAGACAATAACATGTGGATACATCGTATGGATGATGCACGGCATTGACAGGAAGCTGATCCAAATGTCAAACAAACAGGTGCTCTGAGGCTTAGTCTTTTCGGTAGTGCTCGCTCTCTGTAATGCGCCAATGTTTTCACATCCACCTGAGTAAGGAAGGTGTCCGTTTCTCACAGATGACAGGCTCAGTGAGAGCAATGAGCAGCACCCGTATGAAGTGCATCTACTGTTTCTAGATGGAGAAGTACAAGTATATTTTGGTTGCAGTTAAAACATCTACACCTTCTTAAACATTCAAGCTTACTTTAAATAATGAGGTAATACTGCTGAGGTGATTTGTTGCGTTCAACAATATCTAAAACAAGACATCTGTTTTACAGTAAAGACGCCGTTCCTTAATTTGACTATTTTCATGAACAAAGACATCGAGCACTGCGCGGGGACAGCTGCTTACTGCTGAAAGGCCTGGTAGTAATGAGGTAGGGAAGTGGATGTGCTCATAGCAGGACTGCTGTATGCCTGAGGTAGTTGGGTGTGGTTGTGGGGCCCAGGGCCCTGTGGTGCATTAGCCTGCGGAGACTGGAAGAAGGTGAACGGCCCTGGAGCCTGGGAGGACAGCCCGGTGGAAGAGGATGGAGAGCACGCGGTGGTGGTGGTGGTAGTTGGATAGCTCATCACTAAGCTTCCCATCCCCATGTGAGGGCTGTACGGTGGCAGGCTGAAAGGTAAGAAGCTCAGCAGGGGTCCCAGGTCCATGTTAGTGGTGCAGGACAACTCAGCTGAGGGCACAGCAGGGCTCCTGGACATCAAGTGTGGGTCACCACCAGCACTCACCCCTTCAGCCAGAACGTCCCTCTGAGGGGAAGCAGAAGTAGAGGTAGAGGAGTTTACTGCACTCAGGTGAGGCGCGGGGGCACTCTGCAGGTCCAGCAGGAAGCTGTCCACGTCGCCACGAGGATATGAGGTAGAGCCGTGGTGCTGGTACCGTGGCATGTTGCTGTAATGCTGCTGCTGCGGAGATGCCGATGGTGCCAGGTGATGATGGTGGGGTTGGGAAGACTGAGCGGGCATGTGGCGAGCCACACCCATGCTCGAGGACAAGGAGCCTTGAATAAGGCCATGAGGTTGGCCCATGCCAGGGACAGGACTGGCCATGTGGTACGAGGAGTACATTTCCCTGGAAAAAGTCTCCATGGGCTCCTTGGAGACAGAGGCCATCTCAGTGGTGACTGGGCTGGGCTCCTCTTTTACTGGGCACATAGTGGAGGGGCTCGGTGTAGCCACAGGAGTGCTGGAACTGCAGGGTGGCATCAACCCCGTCTCCTGGGCATGGCTCTTCTTCAAATGGCGAGTCAGGTGGTCTCTGCGGCCAAAGCGTTGGGCACAGCGCGGACACAGGAAGTCACGGCGTCCTGTGTGCACCACCGCATGACGGCGCACATCCTTACGTGTGTAAAAACGGCGGTCGCATCTCTCACAGGAGTACTTCCTCTCTCTTACTGGCACCACAACATTAATGCTTCCCTCTGACGGTGGAGGCCTGTCAATATGGCCACCCAGGTGCTCCAGCAGGGAAGGAGCGACATCTGAGCAGGGCAGGGCTGCTGCAGCACTGTGAGCTGCCACGAGGTGGCGTCTGTAACCTAGCTGGGTGTTGTACTGCTTCCCACAGTCCTGGCAGTGAAAAAGCTGCCGAACGGCAGGATGGCTCTCCTGTGGCTGGCTCTTTAGATGGTCTTGCTGGTGGAACATGGTCTAATACAATGGTGGGTTTCGGCTGTGCTGCTCAGGGACTCTGGCCACGAGCCTGCGCTGATAAACACAAAACTCATGAGGAGACGGTACTATCAGCCCACGGAATTCAGATCGTTTGTTAAAGTGCAAGATAAATGCTAAGTGCTGTCTGACGGTCTCTTGCAGCAATGACTAGAGGTCTGTCCTGCCTTACTGGGGCAAGCCTGTGTCCAGCACTTGGTTTCTGTGACAGCAGCTGCCATAGCAACCCCAAAAGGGCTGTTGTGATGAGGAGCTTTGGAAGCTGAGACTGGGTCTGTGTGTTTCCTGAGAAATGTTCTTGTGTTGGCCTGCAGTCTAATTTAGCATTCAGTAGCTGAATGACAGGAAGCCCGGCATCTTCACAGACCTGCAAAACAGAAAAGTGCAGGAAAATGCGTCAGTGTGTTCACATGAAACCTCTGGGCTTAGATGGCGTGCTGCAGACGTCACATGACAACTACAACAACAACAATAATAGTAATAGTACCACTATATCACCAAAAGATGGTTCTCTCAGAGCTCAAACACTTAAAGCTACAACTTAAGTTATTAGACTACTGTTCTCGTTTGTACACACGCATGCACAGAGTTATCAAAGCAATTAAAACTGTTTTCTGTTTAGCTGATACATGCCTACTCGTGTATGCAGTGAGGTAATCATATACATGACATTGGCATTTGTCTTTCTTTACTGTGCCAGAATTTTAATAGTTTCAGAACACAAAAACAGGTAAATTATTTGTGCCAAAGGAGAAACAGTTTAGACATGAGCTGCCAGTAGAAGAAGGTTTGAGGGTTCACCTTTATTAGAGAACACATAGTGATAGCGCATAGACTAGACACAAACGCAGTGAGCGAACAGAGGGAGACACCCAGCAAGGAGGCTCTAGTCAGGCTGAACGAGCACTGCTGCATCTAGCCATGCAGACATTTCTGCATCTTTGCCATTCAAAGACACGTGTATATGGTTTATTTTATGTAATATTAAATACTGAACTGTAAATTTTCAAGAAGAAATTTTTTATTCAGGGGTTTCATAAAAGCCTTATTTTTAATATATTTATTACTACTTGGGAGAATGCACGAGGTTTAAGTCAATGTCAAAGAAAACTAAATAAACATGCAATCTAAACAAAATGCATCTTTACTCTGTCTTTTTGGAAGGCTTTTTTGACTTTTGTTTATTTCTGTGTTTTTAAGTGTACAAGTGAATGAGTGAGTTTGTGTCTGTAAGCCCTTAAAGGAGAATGTGGTAGCTCCAATGAAGAGAAGCAAGCATATCAGCATTCTGAAGTTTGCCCTGTGCTTTGATGCAACGTTTCTGTGCTGTTGAAAACAAGACGTTATGATAGAGTAGACATTAATATTTACTGTCCAACCTAAAATCACTCAGGTCAGTGTGTATATGAACACAATTTAACTGAGATAGTATTTTATATTATTTCATTTTCAATCTGGGAAAAAAAAAAAAAAGACATGAAAACCTTGAAATAAATTACACGCCGTGCCCCATTTTTTGCCCGTTTGCTTCCACAATAAGACGGCTGACATCAGCCTTCAGCAAACATGTATCAGAGCACATTAAGAGTTTATCTGCATATCTTAATGCATCTTCTGGATGCTTACTGCAGATTTTTCTCTGTGTAAAACAAAGAGCGGTGGATGGAACAGCTACAAAGTTTGCTTGTCTTCATGTCGGAGTTTGTTGATCAGGTGCTTTGATGAAGAACTTGGTTAGTTTCTGCCAGCAAAGGTTTTAATGGTGATTACGGGAACAGCGCTAGTGTTTTGAACACGAGAAACACATTTTCTTTCACTCAAGCTGAGTTCACAAAGTATCAAAGCAAAGAATTTGTGTCTAAATTTTTTTTATAATTAAATTATTCGAAATACCCGATGAATCACTGCGGCCCTAGTTGCATGCCCACGTGAGGTTTTCAGACAAATTCACATCGTGGTAGTCTACCATGACCACTGTGACCTGGATGACTAAGAACCTACACTGACATCTTAGGGATATTTCATTACAATGTTTTTGTTTTCGTTCAAGTTTTCTCTTTCATCCCTCCCTCCTTTTCCATGGTTTTCTTACTTCTTTCACTGCACCGATCACCTGTTTTCCTACACAGTCACAAACCACCCCCCTGATTTTTACACATCGGCATGGCACAATCACACACACACGCACTCAGTGTCAGCACATCCACTATAGCCTCACAGACAAGTACGTACATGCTCCATCCATCTATTCTCTTCCACTTATCCTTGCCAGGGTCGCAGGGGGGCTGAAGCCTATTCCAGCTGTCCTAGAGAGGAAGGGTACTCCCTGGACAGGTCGCCAGGCATCCGCAGGGTTAACAGATAGAGACACACAACCACTCACACCTATGGGCAATTTAGAGTTTCCAGTTAACCTATCCCCACTAACTGCATGTCTTTGGACTGTGAGAGGAAGCCGGAGCGCCCGGAAAGAACCCATGCAAACATGGGAAGAACATGCAAACTCCACACAGAAAGACCCTGGCTTGATGGTGGAATTGAACTCACTGTTGCCTCACACCTCTTGGTGTAACAGTGCAAACCACAGTGCCACTGTGCTACCCTTACTCATTTCCATTAGTATTATTATACTCACAGTACATTCATAATGTAACAATGTAATATATCACTTGTTCTTGGGGGCGACCTCAACTTGGGACTAATTGAAGAAATGGACAGGAGCAAATTCTGTGTCGATAAATTTTTATAATTGATGTTAGGGCTGCACGATTAATCGTTAGAAAATTGCGATCTCGATTCATACTTATGTGCGATCTCATTTCCAAATGACAACGATAAAAAAATTAAAAAAAAAAAAAAAGACGACGACGACTGTACCGCATTTTGATCCGGGACGTACTCTGCATGAAAACAAGCGCTCACTCTTCCTGCTCAACAAATGACAAGGGCGGAGCCTTATACCACGTGATACAGAAGGTGTGCCGTGTGATGCTAAAATTAGCAGGGAAAAAAACAACGGAGAGCACGTCAGGGATGACGAGAAAGTGACAGGAGAAAATCCGTCCCGGTCAACCACCCAAACATCAATA